GTTCGCGTTCATGCGCAAATTGTCAAATTCGCAAATTGTCCAGCGGGTGCAATGTGCCAGATTCTCACTTTGTCAAATGCGCGAATAGTCAAATTCGCAAAATGTCAAGTTTTAAAAATGTCTTTATATTACGGTTTTATGGTTTCATATTTAAAAAAAAACCTTAACATTTTAATGATTAAAAGTTCTGCCAATTAATTACTTGATTTTTATTATTAAAACCTAAAGAACTGGACATTTAAACATTTACTGGACGGTAGGTGTGCTTGCTAGAGACTACGTAAAAAAATTACATTAATGGCAGATTGTGCAGCGCCCCAAGCGGCTATTTACAAGAACTAAAATCTTCATAGATTTTTGACGCACTCGCTAGCGAAAACACCTTACATAAACTCATTGTTGTCAATTCTTTTTTCATTGAGGAAAAATGTGTAGGATTAGGACCTGTAGTTAAGTGGGTTTACTCATTAAAGTAGTCCCTTATTTCTGTCAGTTATCGTAAATGGGAGAGGCCTTGTGGATGAATCGAAGGACTCTTCTCTATTGCAGATTCACCGAATTCACTGAAAATAGGATCTAAAGACCCCCAAAACGGGAACACTTCTTAAACTTCACACATTTCTTTTGTATATTTCTTTATGTTCGTTGAATTTTATAATTTATTGATGTATTTTACGATAATATTAGAATTATATTAAGCTTGGCTAAACTCTAGATTCGCTACAAAATGCTCTGAAGTGTTTTTAATTAGCACAAATAAGTGACGTTAAACATTTAATCAGTATTTTGGAGCTTTTCTCACGAAATGCAAATGGGGTCTTAGAGACTTATCAGGAGCCATTGAGTTCCCACGTCTGTTAGGACAACTTGCCGTTCATAAGCGGAGGCGACTAGCGATTTTAATCATGAAGCAATAACAATATTTCCGTAGCTTAGTTGTCAGAGAGTATACCAATATTCTCTTCTCAATATTTTTGTTTTGACGTTTCATAAATTCTTCATACGTATTTGATATATTCATACAAACTGTCACTGTCATTATCACTGGCATCTCGTTTGCATGAGAGAGATAGAGACATTCGGAAATTCCAGATTATATTGATAGGAGTAGCCTTCGAATTAGATCTTGCGAACGAACAGTGATTTTGCAAACTGACGTCTAACGTCGGGTACAAAACGGGTTTGACGCAGACCGTCCCATTGGTCCCATTCGCAAAGTCACACTCAGATAAAAGTGAAAGCCTACATTTTTGAAATAATAGTTCAACTTGTAGTTGAAAATGTTAAACAACTTTTTTCTGAGTATTTTGCGAATGAAACAAAATGAATGGCCATTTTTGAATCCGTGACGATAATGGGACGGTCGGCATCTAACCCCTTAAGGTTCAGCCAAACCAACGCGATCACACGCGATCAGCCGGCTTGCAGCGATGGTGATCAATGCATTTAAGTCTGGTCGCCATCGCTGCACGCCGGCTGATCGCGTGTGATCGCGTTGGTTTGGCCGAACCTTTAAAACGTCTTTAAAAGATTAATTTTTGCTCCCGCTACCGCCTATGTAATGCCGAGCCGCGCATTCGCCGCTACGATTCGGTGTCGACGCGACATTTACTACGCCGAGTGGCCCTTTACTTATGTTATTCATTAAATCAACATAATAATATAACCTTTGCTAAGCTCTCACTTCTAGAGTTATTTCGCGATGAGTGGCTGAATTAGATTAAGATACGAAGAATAATGTGTGTTCAAGTTATCTATAATTAACTTTTTAAAAAAATAAAACCGACTTCAAATGCGTGAACACAAAAAAATACTAAAAATTAAAAATATTGCGTATAAAAAAGTTCATCCCCAATTTTCCACCCTTGGGGGTGAAATATTTTCTTCAAATTCGCATGAAACCACCCTTTTGATAATACCTATTCAACAAAAAAATAATCGTTCAAATTGATTTATAATCGGCGGAGATATTGCGTATAAAAAAGTTCATCCCCAATTTTCCACCCTGGGGGTTGTTTTTTCTATTATTAAATTTAAATGGGACCACCCTTGAGGTATTACCTATACGCCGAAAAAAGATTTGTTCAAATCGGTTCATAATTGGCGGAGTTATCGCGTAACAAACATAGAAAAAAAAAAACATACGGGTCGAATTGAGAACCTCCTCCTTTTTTGAAGTCGGTTGAAAATACAATAATCAATTTATAACTGAAAACTGATTTAGTTTTCAATGAATTGTAAAATTAAATTTTCTCTTACTTTAAAGTTGATTGAGTTGGCCATTGACAAGTGAAGTCGTTGGTCCCGGTGGTAATAAATAATATACATGATTTTGACAGCTCATAGAAAGTACGAAATCTTATTTACTAGCGCTAGTGTTAACTGCTTGATATTGAAAACAGGTACAACATTTAGGCTGGGTGGTACCACCTATAGTCCGATTTTTAATTCGACGGAATTCTGACAGCTGTCATTTTTTGACAATTCAGATGTAATAAGCCTTTTTTGCTTTGAATTATTAATAAATAATATGAAATGAAATTTCATCAACTACAACTTACAAGAATGAACTATTGTTTGTTTCGTGAATACAATGTACACTGATTATTATGTACATTTTAGAGATTAAATAGAAAAAAACGTGTTTTTAACACAGTAAAACAACATATTAACATAAACGAAAATATGTATTGATCATCAATCATCATTATCGTCATCATAATCAACTTGGATTATAAAATTGGCATCTTGTTAAATTGATTATTTTATGAAGCTAAGATTTTATTAACAAAAGGATTTTCATAAAAAAGGTTTGTAACCCATGGATTATTGGCCAGGGAGTCCAGTAATAGAAAAATAATTTCCCAATTTTTTTTGTAACTTCTAAAATATGATAATAAAAATTCAAATAATCATTTTGAAATGATCAGTACATTTTTAAACCTTAGTTTTTTAAGTGAAACCTTAAATTCAAGAAAGGATTATTTTTTAATTTGTGAAAATGCTCTCCATCCTCAGTGGGAATGTTTCAATGTTGGTAACACTTCTGAAATGTCAAAATTCCGTCGAATTAAAAATCAGAGTTTACCTTTGACCGTAACTGTAGTCCGTAACATTATCCGGTGTTTTTTGTATGGACTTTGACAGATATTTGACGTTTGTCAAAGTTTTAAACTGCCAAAATTCCAAGATCTGTAAAACATAAAAAAATATCTGCCGCTAACCTTTAGAAGTTTTTAACAGACTATCAGGGACTTTATCAGCAAGGTGATGCAGTCCCTTAAACCTATTACCATGGCTATTACCATACAAGACACAACAAAGTTTAAAATTTGACCTAACAGATTAGGATTTATACTTAATCACATTTTATGGCATATAAAAATGACAACATTATTATTAAATGTGTGAAATAACCAAGGATTTTCCCTCGATTATGGGATTCATATTTTATATAGACAATTAATAAGTCTGGGAGCATATTGTCCTTTACTTAGTACCTTTTAAAGGCAATGGTTGTACTTGACCTCATTTTAGTTTGACCTAGAATTAGTACATCTTATTCAGAGTGAAATATAAACCTATAGTTGTCCACCATTGGCATAAATTGATAATGACAACGCTACTCTTGTAGCGGAGTTTTGGACTGACACTGTATAGCATTGGTTCCCAAAGACCTTTAAAGGGGGGCGCGGGCCATCTGTGTACTTAAGTATAAAAAACCTGCGACCGCTGAGGGTGATTTCCAGACTGCTCGATACGACCAATAAATAATGTTACTGTAGGAGGGGGCGCAGAATTTTTTTGTATGGTCGAAAGGGGTCGCGTCTCAAAAAAGTTTAGGAACCAATGCTGTATAGGTTTGTTATCAACACGACATGAAGAAGATTGGCTTAAATGTATTTGAATTTTGTAGTACAATTAAATTATGTTAAAAATAGTCTGAATAAATGTGCCTATGTGCTATTCATAAGTAGGTAGTCAGCCAAAGTTTCATTAAAATCCATCGAGTTATTTCAATGAGTTATTCGTTTAATAAATTAATTGTAACTCTTTATTTAGATTTATTTCTAGATGGAAATTTAAAAAGATTATTTTTCTTGTATAATGTGTTTTATTTTGAAATTAAAATGCGTATATATCAAGACTTCTATAATAAAACATTTATTATTTCAAATCACAGTAGACCATGTAATATGGATACAACATTCACACACATATAATTTTCATTTCATAAAAAATATAACTTAATAATTCAATGCGTAATAAATTAAAATAAATTCTTAAATCATTATTTAAGTACAACAGTATACGAAATAAACTTACAATAAATTAAAATTAAATGCATTGTGATAGTAATTTTCATCTATTATTAAATTATTATGTAAAGCCAAAAGAAAAAATATACACAACTCTCATAGGCTTTTTTTGTCTAAGGAATATGCCAATATTATGTTTGCAACAAACTTATAACTAAGTATCTGTAAAAAGCAAGATTTAATAATACAAATAATAATGAAACAGTTAGAAATTCATAATCACTAGAGATCATAACGTCATGATATATTGATGTATGAGTCCAACCAATATTGATATTATTATAATAATGAATTATGACGATTTAAAAAAACTAGCTGTGCCCGCGACTTCGTATGCGTGAAAATGATTTGAAAAATATGGAACATTTTTCTTTACTGCTCCGCCCCTGTTCGCTGTAGGGTGATGTTTGATTTGTGACAAACTAAATTTCGCGCGGGTAAAGCCGCGGGCAAAAGCTAGTATTAGTATAAATATTGGCACAGTGTCGGCGGTTTCTTAAAATAAAATGTACAACTTAAGTACTATAATATAAATAAATAAAATACAGTGGTTTCCAGTCGGATAGGTAAGTACATTGAATTATATTGTAAACGTGCGAGTTTTCTACGCCAGGTGGCGCTAACGGTTCTAATAGTGTCACATTGTAGCAACTCAAATATTAAGATTTTTCATTTTCGTGGTTGATACAAAATTGTTTCTAAAATACATTATTGACAAACTGTACAATTTGATTTCTGTTTAGTAAAATGCAAGGTTTTTTATAATAGATTTTGACATACCAGTGTGTTTAGGAATTTTTTTCTTGTTCTGTTGTAAGAACAACGTATAGTACTTTTGCAGCTACAATATAATTCAACGGTGAACAACTTAAGCCTAACAATAATTTAAGTTGTGGTTAAGTTAAGGTACTCTTAAGTATAGGAACATCAATTGTCACATCGGCGGGTAACTTCGTAGTAGACGTTATTTAGGCGCTTACTGAAAAAGAAGAAAAAAACATATTTTATTGTAAAGAAAACAGTAAAGTATTCCACCGTTACAACTCCCTGTGTATCCAGCCAACCATCGAAGGTCAAGTTTGTCCCGAGGGAAAGTTAAACTGTCATTGGACCCGCAACAAAATTAATCGGAAGAACGTAGGAGGAGTTTAAAGTTCTGGTTCAACTTCCCTCAGTGCAAAGCGGATGACAGATGGCAAACAAAGGTTAAGTAACCTTTAAGAAAAGATACACACCACGCACAGTAAACATCAATTATGGGGCCCTATCTTGTGAGCTATTAGCTAGCAATAATATTTTGTCAATATCAAAGCAAACTTACTTGTTTCTTAGCAGGATAAAGGAAGGTCGCCACCGTGTCTTTCCCGTGCTTGTTTTTGACGGTACAAGTGTAGTTGCCCATGTCCTCCCACCTGATGTTGGTGACCAGAAGATCGCCGGTTGGGAGCACCTGCAATAGAAGAAAACATGTTTAAAATACGCAGTATAACGGATGCCCTGCGTGCCCAAACAACTGCATGCGAAGATTTAATGAATGCTATTGACAACGCCACTCTTGTAGCGGAGTTTTAGGCTGACACTGTATAGGTTTGTTGTCGACACGACATGAAGAAGTGAAGAAGATGATCAAGTCAAGTTTCTTGATCCATCTTCGAAGTAGTTGCTTGCGCTGCTTCTTCCCAGCACTGGTCCATTTATTGTCCCGGAGCAGTGGTAGGGTTAAAGTAATACTGGGTATGTCTATAAGGGCTTTGAAGAATCATTGCCAGTTGTGCAGAAATGCTGAAAATAAGCTCAATTTTTACCTAATTGCTCTTTACAAGAAATGTAAGAATTTCCTGATGCATTTAATGGGGTTAAGGAGTCATTATTGTCACAAGAAAAATTCGTATTGATTTTGAGTCATTGTATTTTTGTTGCACATTGCTCATAGAGCTGATGGTCGCTGGAGCAGAATAGTTCTCGAGTGGCGACCACGGGCCGGAAGACGTAGTATGGGCAAGTCTTCTACTAGGTGGACCGAAGCTAGTGAAGGTCGCGAGAAGTGTCTGGATGCGGACAGAGCAGGACCGGTCCTTGTGGAAATGCTTGGGGAAACCTTTATTCAGCTGTTGACGTCATTTGGTTGAAACGAATGAACAAACCTGGATGCGGGCTGCACAGGACTGGTCATTGTGGAAATCCTTGGGGGATGCCTTTGTCCAGCAGTGGACGTCATTTTGCTGAAAGTAAGGAACGAATCTTACCCGGATCCTCGAGTTGCCATAGATCAGCTCGTCCCTGCTGTCCAGCCAGTAGACCTGAGCCTTGCTGCCGCTGTAGTACCGGCAGGGTAATACAGCACTGCTGCCGATGTCCTGGAAGATCTCGTTGTAATACTCCGTGATGACCGGCTTGGTGGGCTTGCGGAAGAGAGCTTCTAAGGTAAAGATGTTGGCTTCATCATCTGAGAATAAAATTTTAGTTGGTTATTGTGAATGTTGCAGAAGGTGACGAGAACTATCTTACTTAAGGTATTGAGTGAATTTCATTCGAGAAAATTTAACCAACATTGGTTACATTGAACAGTTTATATGATTTCTTGGTGTAGGATTCGTTTCTATCTTTTGTGTCTAAATTTTACCACACTCTACAGGGTGTTAGGTAAATGGGTATATGAGCCGACACTAGCCCATGTTAACATGGTCATTTATAAATGTGAAGTTAGAAATTTGATAACTTCATTTTATTTTTTTAAATTTTCATACAAAATAAATTTTATAAAATCTGATTTATATGAAAATAAAAATGATTAAAATTAAGATATCAATTTTCTGACTTCACCATACCATTTATATGACCATATTAACATGGGCTAGTGTCGGCTCATATACCCATTTACCTAACACCCCGTATTGTGTCCAATATTTAACTATTTTTAAGACACTACATGAATAACGTGTGATTTTGTCCATTTAAATTCCGTTAAGAAAGTTTTACGTGGTACCAGGCAGGACAACGCTTTGTTTAAAAACGCCTTTAAGAATATTTGCGGCATTATCACTCTGCTGTAAATTGGTGGAAAATTTTCAGCTTGGCTTTACGAGATTATCTCATTTCTCGTTCCCACCTTGTAATATGTACAATGTTGTAACAGAAATGTATATTCTATCGGCTGTAAAATAAGTTTCAAATTACCATCAACAGTATACACAGTAGAGGTAGCCATCTGCTGCTTCAGACCAGCAGTGGCGACGCAGGTATACTCGTCTCCATTGGCTGCTGAGGACACCACCACTTTGGTGGTCATCCTGGCCAGGCTCGAAGGGTGGATGCTGAAGATCTCATTCACTTCATCGTACTGGAATTGTGAAAATGTTATCAGTTATTAGTTAGGTACTATTTTATTTTGAAATTTCGGGATTGACAACTTCTGGTTTTAAAGGACTATTTGGGGTTTCTTAGTATTGATTGACTACTTTTACGTTGAGGGTGAATGAAAATAAAATAGTGTTTGCAAACAGCGCCCTCTCTTGCTGAGTAGTGTAATAAATGCTGGACAAAAGCCTCCCCAAGGATTTTCAAAAAGTCCGCCCGTGCGCTGCCCGCACCCAAGTGCCTCACGCGACCTTTATTAGATCATTGGTATACTGAGGGAGAAGCTGTAAGAGAAACCCAGCTCACTGCCACTTAAGTTTGCCAATGCTGCGATCGACTGGGATTGAACTAACTGTACTTTGTATAATGAAGACTAACTCTACTCTTATTTTTTTTTTTATGCTAGCCAAGGCAGGTATTTTCTTATCGCCAAGTGGTTGTCCGTTTTTCAGCCACTGAGACCACGGGACTATTCCCACCTCCAGTCCTGTGTAACCAGGATCTACAGCTTAAAAACCCAACTGTGAAGGCCAAGTTTGTCCTCCGGAACATCGCAGACCAGCTGCGTATTCTCCAGAAAATATTGTAAGGAATTATAATGAAGAGTAACTCTACTCACATCTCCCAAAGGCTGCCCATTCTTCAGCCACTGCGCATGAGGCGCCGGTTTCCCTATCACCTCGCAGACCAGCTCCGTCCGAGTGCCAGGCGCCACCCTCACCGACTTCGGAGGCGGGTCCGATATGTTCACGAAGGGACGGAGGATGCGGCGTTTTGGTGGTGGTGCTACTGGAACAAAGGATAATGTCTCAAGTTATTTCAAATATCTCAAGAAATTAATGAAGTTATTTCAAATCAAAAAATCTATCTAATCTGGAGTTCTAACCCTAGACAAAGTTCCAAAAGTAATCCGTTTATCATTTCAAAATCTCTTCACTGAGCTGAAAAAAAGTAAATGTTACAAAAAAAAATTGCCAGGACGAACAATTTCAGAATTACTACTGACACGTTTGTAACTTTTTCTAGGTCCCTTGTTGACTCAATCGTGATGACATTGATTTGATTTGATTTTCTTATTAGAAGATGGGTTTATGCTGCCTTTAGCCGGCGATATGATCAACCATCACAGCATATTGGCTAGCCAATTTCGTTTAATGTATCCTATATCCATTTCTATTTATTCAAACTCTACATAAATAAGTGTAAGTTATACATTTTTATACAGGAAGTCGGAATGATATAATGCCACATTACCCTTTACAATGTCGAGCATATAAAAAGAAGTTTTTGTCGCGGAATAAATTGAATAATTCGATACACGAGTTAGGAGCCAGGAATGATCGATTTGACTTTATAATCGATGTCCCCTCGATTGACGATTTGTAAGTCAATCGGTACAGACATCTGGTCTATAATACAACTTATATGTGGAAATTTGAATGGATAATCTGTATTGTAAATGGAAATATTTTCTTGCAAACGTTATCAATTCTTTACGACTATTTTTTTACTAAGAACGGGCAGCAGCGCCCTCTGAAAAACATAAATATTTTAAACTGCGATCTCCAACCCGCCTGCCATGCGTGGGGATTATGGCAAAACCCTCCACTATAGTGGAGGAGGCTCATTCATAGTCCAGCAGTGGACTGTAAAGGGCTGTTGATGATGATGATGATGATGATGATGATGATGATTTTTTTTACTTGAATGAAGGGTTCGGGTTTATTTTTGCTATGGGTTTAATACATTAACAATTTTGATAGTAAATAGAAATACCTATTTTTAGCGTAAACTAATCTTAGTTAAAAAATCTATTCGTTCGTTCGTTTCAGCCAAACGACGTCCACTGCTGGGCAAAGGCCTCCCCCAAGGTTTTCCACATTTTCCAAAAAATCTATAAATAAGACTTATTTTTATCATGGTGTAAATAAATTTTCAATGGGTTTAATTAATAAATCAACAATTTAGATCGTAGATGTAAATACTTTTTTTGCGAAAACCAATATAGGTTGGTACATAAATAAAAGACTTGGTGAATATTTTTAATTGGGATGAATGAAAGAAGGGATTTGCTTTTCAATGGATTTAGCAAATTAACAATTTAAATCATAAATGGAAATATTGTTTTTGCGAAATCTAATATAAATTATTAAATCTTTGTGAGCATTCTTAACTTGGATGAATGAATGAAAGGTTTTCCTTTGCAATTAGTAATAATTACTTATGATGACTTTTACAATTTATATAACTATTCAATGATACGCTGTTAACACATAGTTAACACATGCGAAAGTAATTCTGTCTGTCTGTCTCTCTTTCACGCCTATACCTACCACTGAACCGATTTTGATGAAATTTAGCATAGAGATAGTTTGAGTCCCGGGAAAGGACATATGATAGTTTTTATCCCGGTTTTTGAAATAGGGACACGCGCGATAAAGTTTTTCTGTGACAGACAAAATTCCACGCGGGCGAAGCCGCGGGCGGAAAGCTAGTGATAATATAATAATATAATAATATAATTAACTCACCATTGGGCTGTAAGTTGTTATCTAAGTCATTCTTCCCCTCTATCTGTGCGTGGGCTTCGAACCCGCATTGCAGCGACACCAGCGCCGCGGCGACGAGTAGCGAAACTAAGTTGATCATGCTGTCTGCCGGTAGATGTCGTTGGTTGCACGAAATAGTATTCTGTAAATGAGAGATATTTTTGTAGTTGTTATTATTAGATTAAATAGTTTGAAGATTTTGATAACAGTGTTTTATTAATAGGGTGTTGTTTTTAAAAATATAATAAAGTAAAATTAATTAATATGTGATTAAAAGTAGGCACATGAGTTTTGTCTTTAAAAAGTTGGTTGGTTTCAGTTGGACAAAATAATATCTAAGGTAAAAAGTTATTTATTTAATGAAATGGGTATTTTTTGAAATCATTAAGGTATTCTTTATTATTATTGTCTATTAATATCGTGTTTCTATTTTATAATATTCAATATAAATACAAGAGAATATTTAAATTAGAAGGTATTGATGTAATTTTGAATCCAAGCCCCAATTTTCCAAAACCAGCAAATATAATAAATATTTTACCGTATGATATTGATATTTTACCTATCTAAATCAACCATTAAAAATAATTATGAGAGTTGATAAAGTTTTTCGAATTTCTAATTGACTCGAATCACGACTTATGATTATGATTATGTATGACATTTCCTTGTCGATCAATCTATAAATATCATCATGAAAAAGAACTTTGTAAAACACACTTCCGCTTTCGCGGAAGCTTCCAAAGCTCAAAACTTGCTAAGCTAGTTCGAAGCTTCTGATCGCGGAACTTATCAACGTAAGTTACAGGAAAGCCACCTGTTAAAGTTTATCAGTCACGTGGTATGGATTTCGAAGCTTTTGCTTGAGCTTTTGAGGATAAAAGTACCTACTTATTTAGTAAGAAACTTTTAAGGAAGCACTGTTTTTGTCGGTCGTATAAAAGAATGCTTTTGCTTTTTTTAATAGAGACATATCATAGAATATACTTAGTACCTACTTTATTTTATTTTAAGTTGAATTTTCGTAAACTTAGATATATTGACGAGTTATCAAACTTCCAAGTACAAGAATGAAATGTTACTTTATATTTTACTAAATTGTCACGTATTTCCTGAATTATGTAAATAGTTAATGTAGCGACACATTAAACACCGTGATGTCTTATGCAGTCGCAATAGAGACTACTTTTGAACAAAAATTCATAGCACTAACTAGTTTAAAATTTTCTTTTTCAGACGCTAATTTCCACGTTAAAGTGTTTATATCAGAAATAACGTTTAGTAAAATAATGAAACTACCAAAATGTTCAGTAATGAAAGAAAAAGTTGGAAAAGCTCAATTTTAGCAATTGTGTTTGAAATAATATGCCAGGTTTTTTAACGTCAATGCAATGAAAAATAAAATCTAACACACCGAAAATTAATCCGTAGATAAAAATTAATACAACAATGATTTATTTCGCTTATACAATCGATAAAATTGTTGCATCAGATAATATTAGCAGTTATCGATCCAATTAACGCGCGAAGAAAAGTAATAATCATTGACAATAAAAAAGAATGTGCATACTAAACCACTTACTAATGTTCGTTTATTATCGGCCAAGGCCAAAAAGTTATAAAAAGTTTAACTAAAATATCGGCACAAAACTAAACGGAAAAAACCATGCACTCAGTTAAATAATTATTTGTCTCTATTTTAAACAAAAACCAACAAAAAATTTGCTAACTGTACCACTTGCAAAAATGTTGACTATTATCAACCTATACCAAAAAAGTTTAATTGAAAAACTGAATAAAACAAAATGAACATCGTGCACTTATTTCAAAAAACGTGTGACATTTCACACATAAAATCACCAAAAAAAAACTCTCGCTTTTCCCTATCACACTCACTAAAAACGATCACTTAAAAAACTCACCTTGTCAAAGTAAGATCGAGCTATCACTTCACACACTGATACGTCTATCCCGGTTCGCGTCTCAGACCTGAGTGCTCTCGTTAGGGTGGACCGGCCTTTTATAGTCGGCCATTAATTCCCAGTTGCCTCTGTGTGCGTGGATCCTTTAGATTAGTTATTAGTTTAGGGATGATATGCTAGTATAATAATCTTTAAGTGTTCTTAGGGAGAAAGTTTTAAGTTCTGGATAGGTAGGCGTCAATTTATGAATGGCTATGTTATCTATTAACGTCTTAAGGTAAGTTTGTTTAAGAATTTAAACAAAAAATTGTATGCTTAACTGTTCTATTATGTTCAATTTTTCTTTTTGGTCTTGGAAATTTATGTACCTAATTGGTAAATTGTTTAAACTGGGTTCCTGATGTCCATTGTAAAATTGCTTCCTTATTTACATTAGAAATATTGTTTCGCCTTGCGTTTTTGAATGAAAATTGTTTGATTTTCAACTAAGTGTGGCATATTATTTAAGTGACGCAAACTGTATTTTGTGGTAATTTTATTGAAAAAAGCATATTTATTTCTTTTAAAACACCTTAGTATTTTACTTATTTAATCGTTGAAAATGCTTCGATAGACTTAATACCTGTTTTCACCATCAATCCCCAAGTTTTAAGTAACCCCTATGGTAACACATAACAGGAATTTTGTTTTCATAGGTGTCTCTTAAAAATTAGGGATTGATGGTGAAAACGGGCATTACTTTCTTTTATTCAGGGCAGAAGGGTATTCTTTTCTTCAAACTTTCATTCAAGACATTTGTAAATAGAGGAATTTTGGTATTAAAAAAATCATTCTTCAAATCAATTCAATTCAAATCATCATCTCTATAGCTATCATTTCTCTATCAACACCTAAGCCCTCCTACGCGATGTTAGCCACGGGGTCCGACCAATTAAGTTATTCGTATTAATTGCCGATGGGTCTCTAATGGTTAATGGTCTTAATGACGTAGGTTAAGTTACTGCTAATTGTTTAGAGTAAATGAGTCATTGGGTACAGTTATGTTGAATTTGAATTGGACTTTCTCTAAACTTGAAAAGGATTATAACGACCGTTTATGCTGGTTTTCTATATTTAATACTAACCGAAATCCGTCCGTCAAATAATGACAAATTCCAATATGTTTTGGTCAAAATATCTACGGTTTTCGATGTTTTTACATTTTCATGACTATTTAGTTAAATAATATATTAAAGAGTAATCGCATCAAAAATTCGAAAACAGATTCAAATTTTACAATTGAAATCCGAATTTGGACAAGGATTGGACATGAGATATGATGGTTGCAGGTTTGATTCAAAAGTTATGTATTTTACCAATCTGGTAAAACCAGCGAATCATTGAGAGATGCATGTTTTCAGTTTCAGTTGATGTCCTGTAGCTGAAATAATGATGATGTTTAGGTATTTTTCAATTTCACTTATTCATAAATATGTTACTGAAGTATTTTACGCGTTGCTTAGTCTGGGTCAAGTTATTTGTGTGATTGTTAGTGTTAGCAAAAAATTTATTTCATTTTGCTCAGCATACAAAACTAACGACAATACAAAAAATAGGCTGGGTATCCCCAGTTTAAGTGTTATGAAAACGACGCTCAAAGTTGATTCAATTTTAAGCATAGATCGGATCTTTCAATTGAATATCAATATTTAATCACACATATTCTTCTGATATGGGATCTACTTTTAAAGGTTTTGTAATATAAAGACGGCGAGACTTATAAAGATACACCGTTTGAAATTCAAATCAAATTAAAGGAGAGATGAGGGCTGTAAATCAAATCAAATAAAATAAAATAAACTAGTTCAGTTTCAGTAGGTAGGAATTTAACACAGATTTCAGTCTAATCTTGAATAGATTCTTACGAGTGTCATTCAACAATGTAGTCCTTAGTAACTGATAAGGAAGCAGATTCATTGACTAATATATCAACATGCGTTCACAAACACTAGCTTTTGTCCGCGATTTTCCCTGCGAGAATATCACGCGCGTATTCACAAACGATGCTTGCTAAATGAAGCAGCAAATCGAATGCACAGCGTTGAATAGAGCTCTGTGATTGGTTCATATGTCACCCTGTGCGTCCACGCGCACTGTAAGACCTCATAGTAATATTTGTGAATACGTGCGTCAGTCTTTTAAATACTTTAATCGCTCCTCCTTTTATCCTCTTTTCAATAACCGAGATAAAAACTGTCCTATTTTCACTGGTTGGGTTTCTATTGGCGGTCAAGCTGTAGATCCTGGCTACACACAGTGTTGCCAGTCGGGTTTTGTCAAAAATTACCAGAAATATTAAAAAAATAACCTTTTTGAATAAAAAGTAACCTTCATATCTGGTGCGGAGCGATTGTGTAAGGTTGTTCATCGTTTCGTTTACCTAAATTCGAAATTTTGACCATTCCATGAAGACCGAAAAGTGACAGGTCGTATAAAAGCGTTTCATGCATGGATTTGCGTTATTATTATCGAAAAACATTCGCTAAAACTCATTTTCTGTACCAAAATAATAAATCAAATTCATGTTTAAATGCAGTTTATGACAATTTTTAAATTGTCACTATTAATATTTTTTACTGAATAACCTGTAAAAGTTAATTCTACAATTTCTGAAAAATCAAAAGTAACCTTTTCATTAGTGTAACCTAAAAGGTTACAAAAGTAACCTTCTGGCAACACTGGCTAAACAGGAGTTGCAGCGGTGGGAACGAGGGGTGGAAATAATCCCTTATCCGACGTTTTTCCCTGGATCTCAAACTTTCTACCAAATTTCATCAAAATCGTTCCAGTGGTAAAGGAAGGTAACAGACAGACAGAGCTACTTTCGCATGTTAGGAAGAATATTCACGGCCAATTCCGAGAACACAATATCTAATCTAAAAATAGTGGCGCCACTGACACATTGGTGTTGTAATAAAATATTCGCTTTATTCATTCATAATCTACACAGGTGAATAGCGAGTCGTTCTTTTTATCTGAACAGATTTTGATACTGTTTTTTCACTTGAAAGAACCGAGTGCGTCAGGGATAGATACTCAGAATCTTTTCACAGAAATGGGGGATAAAGACTATTTATAGAAACTGATATACTATTAAAATCATACGACATTGTAGCAAGAAATGTATGATAATACCTACTCGTATATCGTCATACTTTTGTGAATAATCAGGTCCATGAAAGTCTTAGGATTTCCTCATCTGTCTCTTTGTTCCACCTGGAAATTGAAACCAGAACCTTAGAATCGAGAGATAAAAGCCCTATTAATTTTCTAATTAATCTGTTAGTCTCACCTAAGAATTCACATCTGTTCAGGTGGGGATTCTTGCATGGCTCAAACTTGGAGTGCAGATGCGGTTTTGTTCCCCAGTCGATGAAGCACATGATGTCGTGCCCTGCGTGCCCAAACAACTGCACGCAGCAAGATTAAATGAAGGCTACTGACAACGCCACTCTTGTGGCGGAGTTTTGGGCTGACACTGTGTAGGTTTGTTGTCGATACGACAAAAAGAAGACCTAGGAATTGAACCCAGGAGAGTCCATAGAAACATATTAGCGAATCGTTAACGCTAAAAGTAGTTCAGTTTACTCTTTTGTGTAAATTGCTGATAAGTTATGCTTATTACGACAAGTATGTTTGCATATAATTGAGTTACATTAATCACATTAGGTACATAATGCTTATTAATATCTACTTAGTACACATTAAAGTGATTCATCCAATCGGTATTTTCGTAGTAAGTAGGTAACGATTTGTATTTCATTCAACACTCCTTACGTTGTAGAAATGTGATAAAAATCGATTGAATGAAAAAAACTTGTTTTGAGAAATCACCTATCTAAATATCTACTAAATTAATCTACAAGTAGGGGAGAGGGGGGCAGCTTTGAACAATTTTCATACTTTATTAAATATCTTCCAAATTTGAACGATTTCATTAATTTTTTCTTCCTAGATAGAGGTCATGGTTATCACACAACAAAATAATGATGTTCTTCTTAATTATTCATGAACGCTTATTAAGATATTTAGATTTTTGCACAGACCTGTAAACGTTCAAAACTGCCCCGTAGTCGGGGCAGCCTTGAACACGCCTGGGGCAGTTTTGAATTAATATTTTTTTCAATGAAATAAAACTGAATATTTATGAATGTGTATTTTTAAAATAATTAATAAACAATATTTTAAATGATCAGTGTCATTTGGGATCAATTTAACATGTTTATTTTATTTTACATCACTCTGTACAAAGTAACACAAAACTTAGTGATATTATTAAAAAAAAAGTAAATATAAGATATATCAATTAACTAAATACTAATAAACTTTCTGTTTAATGACACATCAAAGACAAAACTGCATAATTTAAAAAATATCAATCAACTACTAAAACTAGCTTTTGCCCGGACTTCACCCAGCTTGAAATTTTATCTGTCACAGTAAAGCAATCTGCTTATTTTTTATGTAAAAACCTTCTACGAAGTATTAGAAAACTTAAGGTTTCATAATACCACTTAAAAAAGAAAATTTATAAAGTTCAAAGGTGCCCCAACCATTTCGTTCAAAGCTGCCCCATGGGTATATTTCCAGAAAAAAACATAAATTTAATAACGGAACATACTTTTATATCGCAATTTCTTATCAAATCTTCATTGAAACTATTTAAACTTCCATATAGTAAACAAACCACTCACTATTTTATAAAACTACGTCCACAAAATCCTTAGAACCAAAATAAAAAAGTGCGAAATTGGCAGTCAAAAACAAAAAACCACTTTTGCCGGTTAACCTACAGTTAGATATTAAAAATGAGATGTGACGGCTATGCGCATCAGTGCTGGCAATATAAATTATGATTTATACCATTGTAGCCTAAACCAGTGATTTTTAAATTCATTTGTTCTAAGCTGCCCCTGTCCAAAGCTGCCCCCCTCTCCCCTATACCTTTTTATGGATACTTGAATATAGTAATTTAATTTAGGATATTGAGTACTAGATAACTGGCCGTTTATTTGAATCAGGGATGTTATGGATATCCGTAACCGTAACCAGTT